ACCTTGACCGTTGACCCTTTGAAGGTGGCGGCAGCTGCAGACTACCGCGTCGTCAACGACATCGAAGGCATCAACTTGACAAGTTCTTCAAACTGCTCGCACTGGCTTTGTGTCAGTTCCCTTCCTGCTCAGGTTCTTTTGGTAAGGGAGTCAGAGCCCCTTGTGATTTATTGCACATGGTTTTTTCATGTCACTGCTGTTCGATTCAGATCCTTTTGAGTAAGGCCTGGGGATGCAGCTCGCAGCCCAACCGGCTCAGTGCACGAGGCATGCGTCCTGTTGATGGTGAGCATGAAAGAAGAGGGGCATCGAGAGACGTTTCGGGGTCCAGGCCCACTCTGGTCGGTGTCCAGAGCCATCGCCAGAGCGACAGGAAGGCTCGCAATGACGAGTTGCGAGATTTTTTCCCCGGGTTTTGCTTGCTGCAGCGTGATTGAGCCTCAGCGCGGCCATGAGCGGCAGCATGAGGCATGATTATATAGTTCCAATCGCGTCATACTGGGAAGCAGGAGGTTAGGACACAGGTCCGTGGATAGGTCTTCTGGCAATGGCGGCAAGCCCATTACAACTGGCAGCCTCAAAGGCAGGCTTGCCAGAAAGCCAACTGGAAGCATCGTCAAGCAAAGCCAAACTTGTACCTTGGGCTTTTTTTGTGCATTGTGGCTTCCAGTCATGTCTTCGCCCCATTTTCCATTCGCCTGCATGCGGGTATGATGGTTCTGATCCTGAGGACTATGTGGTCGCCGGTGTTGCAAATTTGCGACGAAGCTTAGAACGCCAACTTGATCATCCCCGCGGTGAACGTTTGGACCTGTTGCTGGAGGAGGTGGATCGTCTTCCTTCTTCCGCACGTGTGTTTGTTCATGGCTTGTTGGAGTGACTATTTGATGTCCCTAGAGTAGAGATGTGTTCGTCAGGCGAAGAAGCTTTCTGCCGATTTGCAGCCGCCTCCCGGCTGCGACAGGGATGTTGGTGACTGCACCAAAGCTAAGTAGCCCTCCAATATGTGCTTTCCAGTCTCTCAGTGGAAGCGATTGGCAAGGTTTGTGTCCTTGTCCAACGAGTTCAAATCAAAATGGGATTCGCAGAAGGCTGCGATCCTGTCTCAAAAGAAGACTGAAATCGATGCGCATCTTCAGCGAGAAGACGACATTGCGCAAGCCGAATTCGCAAAGACAGCAGCGCCTTGTTCATGCTTTCTGTAGCATTTTTTTCAAGGATGCGACATGTGCCGCGACCAGAGTCAGCAACGAGAAGTGCAGATGTTGGCTTTTGAATAATTCCTTGCCTTCCGGATTCTGAGGGCTTGGCCTTGCACATTCTTGCAGTAATTCTTACGTTGCAAAAGGCTGGCTTATGTGCATGAGTTTGCAGGGTCGTCTCATCCGGGATCACGTGTTCTACATGCTCCGGCCACTATCATCCACTCACTTATGGCAGTCTGAGTCTTAGTCTTGGCTAGCACACAATGAAGAATCAGTGGCCAGGTGCGTGATGTCTTCTTGTGTAGTTGGTACACGACGTCTCGTCACAACTCAGTCGAGCACCAAGTCATTGTCGAGTAAAGATGACGGTTTTGAATTTCTGTTGCCAAATGAAGTTGACTATCCATGACCGTCCCTTGGCCGGCTTAGATTGGTTTCATTCGAGGGCTTGCTTGTGGCAGCAATTCATAACTTCCGTGTCGTCTTCGAGGAAGTGGAGCTGCGCGCCCTCGCCACGGCTGAGGAGCAGCGTGGTGGCACGGCCCGTTCGCAGGAACTCGAGGTGGGGAACAGTAGGTTTATGCCGAGACGGACCGGACAGGGAGAAGGCTCCATGTCGTGAGATTGGAAAGGCGGTGAGATGGGAACACAAGTTGAGCCAAGCGTTTCAGAGATGCCGCAGGGCTTCGCAACGAGTAAGTCACACTAAATCTGCACGAAGATCAAAACTATGAGGGATACGCATTTAACACAGAAGACCGAGACAGAGACGGGCATAACGCCATCGAAACATAACCTGCAGGGATATGCAAGCGCGCGTTTGTGTGGGGACCGCCCGTATTCTTGCCTTGGCAGCCGAGATGGCAGGTATGCAATTTCTTCCTCTTGTGAGCTTTGCTCTTTC